GGGGGCAGAGCAGCGGGGGTGTTGCCGGGTTGGTACCGCAGCGCCGAGGGGCACATCTCCCCCCCACTCCACCCCAGACCCGTCGTAGCCCCCCCCTTCCGACAGTCCGGCATATCTGATAATCCGGCACCCCCTGGGTCCTAAAGGTGCCAGATTATCGGAAGTTTACTGTATATATCAGTAGGGCACTGCTGGCATTTGATAGCGTAGATCAGATTACTAGGTGTGCAATCAAATGACCCTTTGATTTTGTGGCTAGTGTTTGCTCCAGTGATGAATTCGTCAGTGTAGATGTGGGCAGAGTTGGCATCTTTTTTGGTTGCAGGGCTGGGTTCCTGGAGGTTTATGATGTGGTCGTGGGGCATGGTTATCAGAAAGAATGCGTTTCAGGTTAGGGGGTTGTCTACAAGCAAGAACAGGTTTTTCTCCTAAGGTCTCAGAGTGAGGGATCATTTTCCAAGATGGGTTGTATATTGTGTATGATGCGTTGGAGGGGTCTACGTTGTGTACTGCAGGTAACAACAAGAGGAGTTCTGTTATTTTCTCTTTGGGTCTGTCTTGAAGTAGTTAAAGTCTGGGTGTTTTTTTGGCTCTGTCAATTTGTTTTTTCACTTCCCCAGGTGGGTATTTCAGTTTTAGGAATGCTCTGTAAAGATTCTGTAGGTGATTGTCTGTCTGTGGGGTCGGCGCAAATCCAGTTGTATTGTAGGGCTTGGCTGTATACAATTGACTGAAAAATGTGTCTGGGATGGAAGCCGGAAGCATGAAGGTAAGTGTAGCAGTCAGTGGGTTTTCGACATAGGGGGTGGAAATTTGTCCATTATTTAACCGTGCTGTAGTGTCCAGGAAGTGGATTTCCCTTGTGGACTGGTCCAGGCTGAGGTTGACAGTAGGGTAGAAGTTGTTGAAATCCTTGTGGAATTCGAGTCAGTATGATGATGTCATCAGTGCAGCGTAAGTAAAGTAGGGGCAATGGGGGGCAAGAGCTGAGGAAATGTCGTTCAAGGTCAGCCATAAAGATGTTGGCATATCATGGTGCCATGTGGGTGCCCATAGCTGTGTCGCTGATTTGGAGACAGAAATTGTTTCTGAATTGGAAGTAGTTGTGGGTGAGGACGAAGTCGCAGAGCTCTGTAATCAGGTGTGCAGTGTTGTTATCGGAGATGGTGTTCCTGCTGGCCTGTAATGTGGAATGTTGGTGTAAAGGGCTTCCTACATCCAGGATGGTATTTTCAGGAAGAGTATTGATGTTTTGGAAGATGGTGTTCCTGCTGGCCTGTAATGTGGAATGTTGGTGTAAAGGGCTTCCTACATCCAGGATGGTATTTTCAGGAAGAGTATTGATGTTTTGGAGTTTCCTCAGGAAGTCAGTGGTATCACGGAGGTAGCTGGGAGTGTTGGTAGCATAGGGTCTGAGGAGGGAGTCGATATAGCCAGATAATCCTGTAGTAAGTGTGCCAATACTGGAGACGATGGGCTGTCCAGGGTTACCAGGTTTGTGTATTTTGGGTAGTAGATAGAATGTTCCTGGTCGGGGATTAGAGGGGGTGTTGGCGTAAATTTGTTCCCGAGTAGCATCAGGGAGTTTCATGAGCAGTTTCTTCTTTTTTTTTGGTATTCCTTAGAGGGGCCACAGGAGAGGGGCCTGTAGAATCTGGTATTTGTGAGTTGTCTGTTCACCTCCTGTTCACAAGCTGTCCCGTTCATGACGACTACAGCGCCTCCTTTGCCAGCTTCTTGGATTCTGATGTTAGGATTGGTTTTGAGGCTGTGAATAGCATTGCGAGCTGCACGACTGAGCTTGTATGTTATCTGTTGTTGTTACTTAACAGGGAAAGCAAAGGGAAACAACTAGGTGCTAACTACTCTGAAGGATCTGTGGATACCGGCAGGATCCCGCCCGCCCGCAAACAAGCAAGAAGGGAGCGCCAACAACCATCACAGGAGGTAAGAAGGGACTGAGTGGGTGGCAGGCCAGCAGGGATATGTATGCACCAATATTGCAGCGCCACACCAGGGGGCGCCCTGGCTGGCCTGACGGGTACTCTTGGACAATCCGTACACGCAGCGCACGCACACCTAAGTGGAATGGACCTGAGCAAGCACTCGAAGAAGAAAAAACGGTTACTTACCGCTCATAACTGTTGTTCTTCGAGATGTGTTGCTCATGTCCACTCGAAATACCACCCTGTCTCCCTTTCGTCGGAGATTGCCAGCAAGAAGGAATTGAGGGGGTGGAGGATCAGCAGGGGTATATCTGCATCGATATCAAGTTTGTCACTCCAGGGGGCTCCATCGCTGGCTCATCAGGTACCATTGCGGCGAGGGTGTGAGAGAGCTTTGACATCTGTGCATGTGGCGTGCAAATGCCTCCATGGAATGGACATGAGCAACACATCTCAAAGAACAACAGTTACAAGAAGTGTAAAGAACTTTTTTTTAAGTTCAAGTGATTATCCGTGTTTGAGCATCATTTGATTTGCATGTGCCCGTACACCTGTTTTCCCCTCTAACATTTTCCATTCTTGGGCATGTTGAATTTTATTTTGGGCAGATTGAAACTTATGTGCAACACCAATTTTGAGGTTGTGTGTGGATGTGCACTACTAGTATAAACAAAAAACCTAGATATAAATATATATTTCAAACAGTTGATAGATATGGAAGAAGAAAAAATATTAAAACAAGGGATAATTAACAGAGTAATGCTTCAGATGTTTATTTAAAACCCCCTCTCAGCTCTCCTTCCCCTCCTCCCTCTCACTCGGGGGACCATGAAGCCCAAACAGCCTTTTGGGCTCCGCGCTCCCCGTGCTGCATGGAGAGCGC